TCTTGCTGGCGTTCGAGCCGCAGATAGCCTTCGAGTCGGCCGGGTTGGCTTGGTTGCTAGATGCGATCAGCTCATGATTCCACATTCCTTCCATTCCTTCGAGCTTACCCGATGATCTTGAGAACACAGGCGGGGGTCTGCACGGTAGTGGCAGTCACGACGTTAGCCAGAGCCATAACGGCAACGGCGAAGATGGACTTGTTGAAGAGCATGATGAAAGATTGGCTGGAGATTGGGAAATTGGATAAAAGACTGGATTCAAGATCGCACAGCGAGTCGAGAGTAAAAGAGTGTGTTGGGCTAAAGAGCGTGTGTGAAAGACAAAGAGTGACGAAGTTGGAAAGGATAAGGTCTAGAAGAAACGGAAACGGGGGGTGAGAACTCGGGGCAACCGCAGTTTCATCCAATCTGGAAGCCACAACGGGAGTCAGGGTCTGTTACATTACAGTAGAATCCTTACAAGGAGGTACTCCACTATTTGGAGTTTCATATTAAATATACTTTACAATACATGTTATTTTAATACATGTATTTTGTTCCCCATGGCTCGCACATCGGGTCCAAAAGTGGATTAGCTTCAGGGACCTGTCCCCAGAGATGTCAGTTCTGTGTCTTGTGTAAACAAATATAATGACCGTGTTACTCGGATTAAATTGAATATTCATCTTAGGGGTATTCTGTAACATTCTAGGTAAAGACAGTTTTGTCTTTTTCCTTAATTTTATGTGTCTTAGTGGCTGATCCAGATTAGGATTAGAGGATTCGAGCTCTATTAATAACTTCAGTTACTACATATACCGCAAAGTAAAGATAAACAATAAGATGTACAACTACGGATCTTACTGTGCAGGTCTCTAATAAACTTCAGCTAAAGACCGTGAGCACTATGGACATCTACCCCCAAATCTATTCGTATTGTGCTGTAGCACTACGACCAAGGTGTCTCATAAAATTGATGCGTGCGACAGGCTTGCGGTTTGCAACAATCGGAATGTTTATATCTTTAGACTTCGGCGAATATTTAACAAAGGAACAAAGCGCAGAACATTAGACAAAGAGCTATAAAAGACAGGGGAAATAGCGCAACAATGATTCGCTCTATCTCACTAGTCATCGACGGCGACTTATACTCTCTAGTATCGTTCCTTCTCCCCTGCCCATGTAAAAAGGAGACACGTGGTTGTAAGATCAGAAAGTGTTTATAGAGGGATGAGGAAGGCGCGCCCCGGACTGTTATATAGAACTTTAGTCTGGTCATATTAGGGAAGTTATATTTAACAGTAAGATCCGCAGTTGTGCATCTTATTGTTTATCTGATCTCGAAGCGATGATCCGGGACATCAATAATCGGTTCATTTCCTCTGCTCGTAGGTTTATGTGAACAAGTTCGGGACGCAAGTCCTCTTCGTGACTCTCTCTAACGCAGTATCAACACATACAGGCTTCCCATATGGAGGTTGGGACGTGGATCGTGCTCGCTTGATCTATTGATATATGCTTACATTGTTTATTTTCAACCTTGGAACATTCCGGCGTCATGAATGACTGTAGACTTCAACGTAAACCAAGCAATTAGAGAGCACCAATCAATATACCATAGGTAGTATTACTCATACAGCAAAGAGGATGGAACCTTCATTACAGAAGCAAGTATCAAAACAGCAACCGTGTGATATTTCAAAGTCCTTTCTTCCAACACGATCTCATCTTCTCCTCGCTGAGAGGGGTCTGTCATATACTATATGAAACGGAAGGGCTAATGGATTTCCTACCACCTGATTCGGCTTTACATACACTTTCTGTGCGGAGTAGGCTTGGCGACCAGATTCTGGCTGCTCGATGAGATGGTGCAGTTGAGAACACGGCAGCGATGAAGGCTTCCGCTTACTGTAACATACTCAAATAAATCTAGACCCTCAAGCTGCAAGCAGATATTTATATATACCGTATTATATGACTTCCTAGTATTAGAATAAACGTAATACCAATATCTTCGGATTCAAGTGCAGCAAGGAGAGAGGGAGTGCAATTCGGGTCCGGCTTTGGCCATTTATCAGTGAGTACTTTTGAATTTTTCGCTTTTGCCTAGGTGATTGAACAATATCCAGCCTGTTTGCTCGATGCGTTGTTTGCCAGCTAACCCCCCTGTCACCTCCGACCCCGCCTGGGTTTTTACAACGCATCCTCTTTCACCTTCCTCTTAAATAATTTCTCATCTGGCAGTTCAAATCCTTTCTTATTGTCCTTTCCTTGCTTTCCCTCAGTACCCAATACGGCTTGGAAACACCTAGCTTTTCTGTCACCAGCATGGATACTAACGACGTCTCCGATGATCCGGAATACTTGAGATATCTTCAAGTACATAGCCAAAATCTGAAGAACGCGCAAGCCCTCAAGGGCCGTCCAGCAAAATCCCCAAAGTCCAAAGATGAGATCCTGATGCAGTTCATGTTTCGACAAATGATGAAGACGAAAGCTCCGACTAGTTCGATGAATATCTTACCTTCGTTTCTACCACCTGCCTACCCCCCATGTCATACTCCTTTCAGCAAGTTGAAGAAGATTATGATCAAAGACCTGTGTCTTGAAACTCATCATAGGAAACGGTATCTCCTCATTAGAACGGTCACTCAGTCAGATACGATGACCGCCGTGGTGGCCATCGTAGAAGATGAAGACGGGAGTGTTCTCATGCTGCAGCTCTACAATCAAGAGCAGGAGCTATCGAATGCACACAGCCTCAGGGAGGGTACGGTGCTTGTTGTGAAAGAACCCTATGTGAAAGTAATGGCAGACGGAGACTACGGGATTCGAGTAGACCATCTCTCGGACGTCTCGTTTGTCCCCGACTTTGACAAATTAGTTCCCTTATCCTGGAGGAAACGTGTGACGCAGGCTGATGAGGACGCCTCTTCTTGGAAGACGAAAGGAAGTGAGCATTTTAATCAGGGTGATTATCGTTCGGCAATCCTATGGTAAGCTGCAAGATATCGCTATGTCTGAAAGCGGATACTGAAAATAATTTAGCTATTCAAAGACGTTAGACGCCCATCCGTCACCGGAATTAGTGGTAACGGCGCAGCTCAACCGTGCCCTTTCCTTTTTGAAAAGCTACCGCTTTGATGCGGCGCTGAAAGATGTAGAAAATGTGCTGCAAGTATCAGAGCTATCAGAAAAAGGTCTCTTTAGAAAGGCTCAAGCCCTGTATCAACTTCGAAGGTTCAAGGAATCATGTGAAACTCACGCAATACTTGCAGAGAAGTATCCAGATAACACCCAGGCCACACATGAGTACTCGCGAGCATCTGCTCGGCTTGTGGAGCAGGATAGCGGGAAATACGAGTTCAGGAAAATGATACTGGAGGCCAAGAAGCGTCAGCCCCCGAGGCTTGACCGGGGTACCTATATTGGTCCTGTAACTGTCAAGCAGACTCAATCTCATGGCAGAGGACTCTTCACAACAGAGGCGGTGACGGCAGGCGACCTTCTCTTCTGTGAAAAGGCATTTTCTCACGCTTTCTACGATAAGGATACCTCGCAAGATCTTCGTCTGTTACTCAATGTCGACATGAACAAAGCTACGATTGGTACTCAAGCAGAGCTTATTGGATTTATTGCCCAGAAGCTGCATAAAAATCCGTCCCTGATACCAGACTTTGTCGATCTTCATCATGGCACATACAAATCAGTGGATGTCCTAGAAGTGGATGGCATGCCCGTCGTAGATACGTATGTCACTGCGTTCCCATCTTGGTACCAAAGCTAATACCCTCTAGGTTCCTAGTTGAGAGAATCATTCACTTGAACGGTTTTGGGTGTCCGCTTTTCTCTCGCGAGAGTCATATAGGCTGCATGAAAGGGGATGATGATACGGCCAAAAAGGCCAATGGGCGATTCCATTCCTCTGGGGTCTGGACGATGGCATCATACATTAATCACTCTTGCGTGAGCAACGCTCGCCGCTCTTTTATTGGAGACATGATGATCGTTCGTGCTTCAAGGGACCTGCCTGCTAACACCGAAATTACCTTCTGGTACAAATCACCCATGACCACTGATCCAAAAGAATTCCCCGTCAACCTGCAGCACTGGGGCTTCAAGTGCGATTGCATATTATGCCAGGAAACACGAAATGCTAGCAGCATTGTTCTATCAAACCGAAACAGAATTTTGGCCGAGCTTCGAAGATTATTCAAGACATCGAAGATGAACTTGCGAAAGATTGAAGACAAAATTTCCACCCTCGCAGGCACATATTCCCGACCAGCTTCTGAAGTCCCTCGTCTTACACTTGATTCGCCATATCTGTCTCTCGCTGCGATCTATGCTTCATCCCGAAAACTCGAAAAGAGTGTGGAATTTGGATTGAAGACCCTCGAGTCACTTGGCTTCGTTATCGCAGGTGGAAATCTTCCTCATGTCTCAAATGCTCCATTGGTAGTTAAAAAATGGGGGCTGATGAATGATGGCGTCGTGGGATGCTGGATGATTCTGTGCTCAGCATATCGAGAGCTCGCACCAACCCTCGCGTCCCAAGCTGAGGGATATGCTAGAGTCTCCTACAAAATCTGCGTTGGCGAAGATGAGACTTTTGATAAAACATACAGCAGGCTATCGGGTCGGGCCGATGGTTTTCTGACGACCGCAAAGTAATTAGGCGAGGCTATAAAACGATGACTGCAAATCTTTCGACTCACGGCACGGTCGAAGCAGTAAGCCGCTGAAGCATAAGTCAAGCTAGTTTGAAGGGGTTTTCTTTTAATATGTCTTTGTCTATGCGAATTTCAAGAAACGAATGATAAGCATTATTGGATTGTATAATACCTACATATGTAGTGATATTGGCCGGTAGTACCTGCTAGATATGATTTATCTATGTTATAATATTGTACGTAGTGTTGTAAATCGCATTTCGACTAGCTTAGGCCTCTATACAGCCTTATAACGTGTTATTAAATATGACGCCGTTCTAGCATGAGCTCTAAGAGGTATCCGCGACTTTACCTGCTAAGCTCCAAAGCGGCAAAGATCCGTCGCCCTCTCTCGTCTTGAATGCACCCGATCCACATGACCTGCTTGAGCTCTGTTCGTGTCTCTGCCCACAACAAGTTTGGCTCCGCGATGCTGTCCCAGAGCTCTTGAAGCCACCGCTCACTAGTGCCAAAGACAGTCGCGCCGCAGACAATTGCCAGCCAGCGCAAGATGGATCGCAGGCCTGAATTTGTTGACGGTGCTGACATCGACTGCGATATTGGTGAGGATGCCGACGGCACAAGAGTTCTGCATGCGCGTCGGAGGCGGTCCGCTAGATGCTTGTAAGCTACCTGCCGTCCTGGCACCCGGAACATTGTCGCGAGAAAGGCCAGCATGCCCAGACATAGCCATTCGCCAGGCATATCAACCAGCAGGTTCTTGAGGTGCAGCAGGCGAGTCTGAATGGAGCTGAGAACTGGCTGGAACTCGCTCGCATTGAGTCGCATATTGCTGTCTGCATGTACGTTGATCAGCTCTGTCAGCCGCTGCAAGTCCTGAAAGGCAATGATGAGCCTGGGGTCCATGAACGCCTGAGATAGAGCCAGATACAGCTCGACATCGACTGATGGCGACGGGCGCGTAAAGGCCGGGTCCCACGACACGGGGCCCTTGAGAAACAGTGGCGCCCCTCCTGCTGTGAGGCACCACATCAGGTCCAGGCACTCGAGCTTGAACTGGGTGACGGGGTTCACCCAAAGGTACCCGTGGCTGCCTCGCATCTCTACAAGCCGTTGTAGGCCCGCCATATGCGCATTACTGGCGTCGTAGTCGCCACTGGTGCTAGAGACAATTGCCAGGAGCATTACGGTGTAGATAGTCGTGTCATCTAGGTGCGAGGCCCCCGTTGCCAGCTTTTTGTTGAGCAGCGTTAGCGTTCTCCCCAAGTGGAACTGCGACGACTTGGCTAGCGGCAGATTTTGCGCCCAGTCGTTGACAGCTGAGTTGATAAAGAGAATGGTGTGAAGGAACGACTTGTCAAAAGACGGCCAGATGGAGCCAAAGCCTACATCGTCGTTGAAGTCGACCGCAATCTCGACGAGAGGGTACGAGGCTTCGGTGATACGATTGAAAGCCATAACTAGATAGATTTTAGTCGAATTCTCGATCCAATCGAAGAGGCAGTCTTACACTGTCGCATCAGCGACTCGGGCATCTGGCCGACCGCATTCGCAAATTCATCGACGACCGGTCCAAAGACAAAGCCTCGAGGTGCCTGAGGAAGACGATCCCACGGGCCCTCGTCTGGCGGCGCTGACCTTTGCTTTACCCGCCGCGGGACCGTCGTAGAAATGGACGCATTTCCTCCTTGAGATATAGCTAAACTTGATCGGCACTTGATTACAGGGACAGCGCTCATTTCAACATTTGTACTGAATTGCTTCGCTGCCCGCCTAGCTTCCCGGTTAGAGCGGCGTGATCCCTCGCGCTTGTTCCGGCCCTTCATGCAGTGGCTGCGGACCTGTGACCTGTCAGCAGGTGTCTGCTTGTCATCCCCGCCGTACGTGACAAAGGCGAATTGCATCGTCATGGCCACAGTTCATCGAACTTTGCTTTAGCGATCAGCGGGCTTATCCAGTCGCATCTGGAATTGCGTCTCGGAGAAAATGAGAGCGATGACGGATAGCGGTAGGCTGTCCAGCCGATGCGGGACCAGACTATATACCCAGCATGGCCTTGTGTAGGGGCCGAGATTGAGGAGTCAGGCAGGCGACCAGATTGTTTTCCCATTTGGGATAGGCTCGGAAGAAGCGGACTGCGGTGTTCGGCGCTAGCAAGAGAGGCGTAAGCTGGTGCACGAGCCCCCGACCACATTGTTTGCCCTTTTGGGAATGACCTGGATCTGATTTTACTGAGATGAAGCCGTGTCGATGATGAATGATGAGGATTGCGGTCTTTAGTCTCTCCGCGATGCTTTTTACACGATAATCCTTGTTCCAGGCTAATAATCTCCAGACGGTATTGACACGATGCCTTTTCCCAGGTAAGGCTATATATAAAGACAGCCTCTAATGCTCTCTAATCAAGAGCCATCCCACCAACCGCTCTCATTAATATCCCTACTGTTTGAGTCTCAACGTACAGCAAAGAGCCAAAGATAAACACGTCCATCATTATGGCATCAATGGCCCTTCTACCCTCCACGGCCTCACCGCTGCAGGCCTTTGTCAGGGCTCAATTCCTCACAAAACCAGTTCCGCCACCTCTGTCAACATGTCTCGCCGGACAGACGGTCATTATCACGGGAGCCAACACCGGTATCGGTCTCGCTGCGGTTGCTAGTCTTCTCAGATACCATGCCTCCCACATCGTTATGGCGTCGCGATCCGTAGAAAAGGGAGAAGCCGCCGCTGCTCCGCTCCGCAAACAGTACCCCAACGCTCAGATTGAAGTGAGGCAGCTTGACATGCTCTCTTACGAGTCCATCCAGGGCTTCGTCAAAACCTGTAGCAATTTGTCCCGAATCGACAAGGTCATCCTCAATGCAGGCGTGGCCATGGGCGATTTCGTCATCAACCAGACGACTGGCCACGAGGCGACTTTCCAGGTCAACTACCTGTCCACCGCGCTCCTGGCCATCCTCCTTCTCCCGGTTCTCAAGTCGAAACGACAAGCTCATGCCCCGGGAAGAATCACAATAGTCGCCTCTGGGATGGCACTTGTATCCCAGTTCGCCAACCGCGAGGCCAACCCTCTCATTCCGTCATTTGACGATCCAAAAGGCTGGGGAACTGCGGCCGCATTGGAGCGGTACGGTCTGACCAAGACACTGGTGCTGATGCTGGTTCAGAAGCTTAGCGAGAACGTGGATCCCAGTGAGGTCATTATCAACGCTATAGAACCGGGACTAGTCGGGGGCTCTGGCCTCCAGCAGCATGCCCCCGCGTACCTGCGGGCCATCTTCCGCTTTGTCCACGCAATTGCAGCGCGATCAACTGAGCAAGGCGCCTGGTCATACGTGGATGCAGTCGCGTTAAAGGGCCAAGAGAGCCACGGTGGTCTGGTGCTGAACTGGAAGATCCATCCGTTTCACCCCATGATGTATGAGCCAAGCGGCAAGAAGATCACGGAGAGGCTGTGGAAAGAAACAATGCAGGAGTTGGGCTTTTCCAACGTGCAGGGGATCATTGATTCTATGCGCAAAGCGTGATATGATCACTCGTTGTTGGAACCACCCATGAGGCCAGGACCTTGTAGACAGATAGTTCCCTCTTCCTTCTTTGTCTGCGCCTCCCTCCTAGTCTGCTCATTTTAGTTTTAATGCACCCATTCTTTATTTCCAAGAGATTTCTCATTGATTAGCATGTAGGCGTTCAGCAATTCCTTGGTGGCACTTTTTGATATCAATATCCGATCCTTGAAATATGAAAGCTACCATAGACTACTCCCACAAAGCTTCGCAAAGGGGATTCAGAAAGATTCAATATCATGATACTCATCAGCATAGTATTAACTGTACATCATAGGCCTTCGTCAAACTCAACGTATTGCCCAAACACTCATAACTTCTCCCAAACAGGATCAAAGATACTAGAAACAACCTCCTGCACCGGCAACCTGTGATCCACAATCTCCCTCCCATTAACCAAATCATTCTCTCGAGCTCTCTTATCCGCCTCATCCTCATCTTTTGCAATGCCCGCCTTAACATGCCTAACCACCAACCTCTTCCTCGCAATCTCAAAATCAACATCCACAAACCAAAGCTCATCCATCAACTTAGCAGCCGTCTTCCACGGCTCCCGATCCAAGCTTAGATAATTCCCTTCAAAAAACAACACCCTACAACTCGGCGGGATGGCAATATCCCCATCAACGGGATCCTTAATAGCATGGTCAAAGCTCGGCGCGTAAAGACTGACCGTGTGGGCCGTAAGCGGCTCCCGCAGAGCCCGCACAAGCTCGACGAACTTCTCGCCATCGAAAGTAAAAGCCGCGCCTCGTCGTGCTGCGGCGTGCACGGGGTCCGGCATGGCGGCCAGCTGTGCGCGTGTCAGGTGATACCCGTCCATTGGGAGGGCGATGGCTATCGGTGTTGGTTTTGTTGGGTTCTCTGAGGCATAGATTCTATTAATCCGTGCTGCCATCATCGTTGCTAGGCCTGTCTTGCCGGAGCCTGGGATGCCGCTGATGGCGATCATTAGGCGCGCGTCATCTGCTGTTGAGCAGAATTTTGCTGGTGGTTTGTCAGCGGTTTGGACATAATTGCGTTCGTGATGTATGACAGAAGGCGTCAAGTTTATGTCCTTGGTTTACTTACCCCAGGTCTTGTTGACCAGTCGGTCTACCTGGTGATCCATGGCTGGCTAGTGAAGTCACGTTGGAATCAAATGTGTAGGAAATATCCGAGGGAAAGAAAAACGTCTCAATTGGCTATCTTTGAGCGCAAAGGGTACGAGTTGAATGCAGACGATGTTTGACACAGAAATGTTGCCTTGAACTATGCTTATCTTCCTCACATATTGGCGGGGCTCTTCAAGTGGGGACTGCTGTCCTCCGAGATAATACGTCACTAGACTTTGGCAGGTACAGATCTACTTGAAAGGCTTGTTTTTTATCTTTATTCGACGGGACAAAATATGAGTATGTAAAATCACAAGACGGTCTCAAAAAGGACCTGTCAATGCCACAGAATTCGATTAGAAAACCTATGTAAAAATTTGCCGGAAGAAAAAAACGCCGTGGCCAATATCGCCAATATCAAATCTCATGTCATTCAGTATTAACCACCTGGGCTGTATTCAATTGTTGGTTCGAGAAATGCCCTCGGTGTCGGTGGAGTCCATGCTCGCATTGAGTCCACGGTCGAGAGTGCGTGCAAGGCCGGCTGCGGCCCACCAGTCGTCGGGAATATCCTCACGGCGGGCAAGTCGATCCAAGATAACCTGCATGTGGTGGAGGTCATCATTCTGGTGACGGTCGGAGAGGGAACTTTGGTGGTGCCCGTCAGAGAGAGCGAGAACGCTTGCAGGAATGATTGTAGGGATAGAAACGGGAGGATGGTTGCTCATAGTCGAATGCGGATCGGGATGACGTCGATCTGCCTGTCTCATGAATTCGTGGTAACTAGAGGAAGGGTCTTCATCATCAGAGGAAGAGAAGTCGCAAGGGTTGAATTGATCGGGAAAGGGGTCGAGTCCAAAATGAGCACGGGCAGCATCCGCCGCCAATGGCTGTGTCAAGTTGATAGAGCTCCGAGGACGAGGATTGCGCGAAATATCCGGTCCAGCGGCAGAAGTTGAGGTGAAAGAAGTATTAGTCGATGGAAGAGTCGCATCGGGTGTCATGGTTGAGAGTAAAGTCTCCCACGCATCGGTTTCTCGCTCTCCGTCTGGACTGGGACTGCGCTGGCGATCCCCAAGCCCGTCTACAACGGGGTCTCGGGCTGGTCGGGTCTGTGTGTTGTGGGGCCGGTGATCAAGTATCTCTGGTCGGGATTCGGTATTGGAAGGATGATCGCTGTTGTCTCTGTCACGCATAGGGGGGAGACGAAGGAGACGAACGCCGCCATCCAAAGGGGGTGAAGTAGCACTAGGGTGCCATGCGAGAGCGGGAGCGAAGTTGGCAGTCAATGAAGGACCGACATGAGAATTTCTGGGCTGAGCGTCCATGCGACCGAGAAGGTCGGTCAAGGCTTGATCACGATAATTCCTGAATCGCCGGTTGGCTGTCTCTGTCTGTCGGTCGGTCTGTCGGGGTGCACTCGCGGCACGCGACTGAGCCCAGTTGAGGGCCTCACGTTCGGCCTGTTCCAGGGTGACTGTACTCTCGCCAGTCCCATTTGGTGGTATGAAAGAGAAGCGCGGCACGCGTCTGGGTTCCACGGCGCCGCGTCGGAGCTCATCAATGATCTGTGAATGAAACGAAGCCAGGATATCGGAACGGCGGGCTCGGGAGCTACTGTGTCGCGACGGCCCTCGGCGAATGGACGAGCGTGCAGAAGCAGATGAGTCCTTGTCCAAAGCAGACTTGGATGTTTCGGACTTGGACGGCTCACGCCACATGCTGTATATCAACGTCAGAGTCAACATTGTATCGCGAAGCAGTGGCGCATGCGATAGCGTCGCGCGCCAACATAAGGGTGGTATGACTTACGGGATACCCATTTTGCTTTTTATTGTAGAAAGAAAGGGGGAAAAGCCCAACGGGTTTGAAAATGAAGGACAAGTAAAGACAAAAAAGGCGATTATGGAACTAGTAAAACGCGCCTTGCGATAACGGTGGGGATGGTTGATGGAGACGGGGGAGATTGGGTTTTTAGAGAAATGAATGCCTGAGGCTGGGGGGTGGCTAGAGTAGCTGGGTCACGTGCTCTATCCAGACATCTTTCGATACCATGTGTAATATCGTTTCAGGCAAGCTCTCCTACATAATTGATAGAAGGCCACTTTCTACAACTATATGGACTTACTGGTTAATGGATTTCATGAAACCCGCTACTTTATATAGTAAACTAGTTACAATATCCTAGTGCTAGAGGCATTAGCACACAACGGATCACGTGAGTCTGCTCCTCCGATCACGGTAAGCTCCAACCTAAAGATGAACTACAGCTTTGCTTTTCTTATTGACAATGGAGCTTTAAAGTTCCGAATCTGCTTGTCATTACCTGATCCTTTGGTCAATAATGACAATTGACCTCAAAATCCCCATCACGCTACAATCAGAGGAATGATCGAGTTAGGATTGACGCGGGTCGCGAGTCTGCTTCAGCGGACTCCGCTCTCATGGAAGGCCATTCACATTGCTGGAACCAACGGTAAAGGATCTATCAGTGCCTACCTTTCCCATTTGCTCTCCACCAGCGGAGTGCGCTGCGGCCGATTCACTTCCCCGCATTTAATTGATCGGTGGGACTGTATTACAATTGGCGAGAAAGTCGTCCAAGAATCCCTTTTCCGACAGATTGAAGATGAAGTCAAACTACGCGACCAAGCCCTAGGCATCGGTGCCTCCGAATTCGAGTTGTTGACCGCAACGGCGTTCGAGATATTCAACCATGAACAAGTCGAAGTTGGTGTGGTCGAGGTGGGCATGGGCGGGCGTCTAGATGCAACAAATATCCTGGATAATGTTCTTGTCTCTGTCATTACAAAAATAGGGATGGACCACCAGGCGTTCCTTGGATCAACGATTGAGGAGATTGCTCGTGAAAAGGCGGGCATCCTCAAGTCTGGAGTCCCTTGCGTGGTAGACAATACAAACAGTCAGGAAGTGGTTGAAACTGTGCGGGCTCATATTCAAGAACTGGGTATTGATTCCTTGTTTGTCTCTCCCGCAACGGTCTCTGAACAAATTCCGGCTCTTGCGCCTTACTTCCAGAAGCTTGACCTAGAGCCCCACCAACAAGAGAACATGTGCTGTGCGGTGTCTGCGCTTCGTCTTGCCCTTTCTCAACTACGACCTGAGATGGATGCATTCTCATTGCTTCCATATCTGTCCGATGTAACATGGCCGGGCCGTTTGCAAAGCATTGTCCTCCAACCTTTGATTGGTCGCGCAGAGCCTATCCTGCTTGATGGTGCTCATAACGCGCAATCTGCTGAAGTTCTCGGCAAGTACGTGGATCGCAAAATGCGTATTCAAGGGCAACCAGTGACTTGGGTTGTTGCCGCGTCAAGTGGAAAGGATCTGGCTGCAGTGTTTGGTTCCATTATCCGGCCCGGAGATCAAGTCGCCACTGCGGAGTTTGGACCCGTGGATGGGATGCCTTGGGTCCAACCAACTAATGCCAAAGAGCTCGCCTCTTCCATTCAGGCTATCCAAAATATTGGACAAGTCCACAGCTTTGAAGGACATTTACTCCCTGCCCTTCAGTGGGCTAGTGAGAAGGCTCAAGGAGGTCCTCTTGTCATTGCTGGTAGTTTGTACCTTGTTTCCGATGTGTTGCGCCTTCTCCGTGCCCAAAAATGATACCCTGTATAGATCGATTGAATTTCACCGATCTATATCGGCAAATAATAGACCCTTAGGACAACAAACAACAACAAACCATTTATTTCGTTTTCTACGTCTCCTTTTTTTGTGGTAAATTACAGGTATATATCAAGCCGTCGTATTCTTTTTGGTCAAATAACAAAAAGTCCATCAAACTGGGTATCGTAGGGCTGATCGGCGATTGTCCAGCACAGCCTGCATGATGCGGCGGGTGGAGCACGAAAGTTCAAAACAACCGCGATTTCTTTGCGAACAACCCCCTTCACGCTCTATTGTCGCCTTTATTAGATCGATATTCTTCAGATTACTGCATGTTATTTGTATCCATCTGGAGATATTGCATGCGCCTCGACTTGTCGTGGAAACAGCTCTCTAGGGCGTGAGAGCTGAAGTGTTGTAATGCCCGCTTGGTGAGACCCTCCCCACAACGTCCGCATGCAAGATGTCATTCATGGTGCTTGTTTGTACCTTAATAGAATCGGACGAATTGACAATTGTGACTGTTAGAACCTGTGGATATGACCTCTGAGACCGTTGCTATCAGCTCTTTCAAGGTTGCCTCCTTCCTCGGCTTTCACCCCACCCCTCCTCCACCTCGAACCACATCCTGAGACCGACAGCCAGCTCGAACAACTGCTAGGATACAATCGACCCTAGTCCGCAGCATTATGGTCGCTCGGTCCGGCGAAGGGAGTGAAGGGCAGCCTCGCCCTCTCACCCCCTCTTCGAGAACCCCCGGAACCCCGATAAAGCCTCGATTGGCACGAGTTGGAACGAGTCCGACGAAGCGAGAAGAGAAACCGAAGGAAGACAAAGTTTTGAAGTCATCGGCAAAAGATGTTGCGGAACTCAAGGACTATGTATGGATACGGTGCCCTGTTGCCCCGCAAAACATGGACTGGGCAGATGCTGACCTCGGGTGTTTATGGTAGCAATTGGGAGACTGCCTGGGCAAAGGCGCCTTCGGTTCCGTGTATCGTGCGTTGAATTGGAATACTGGGGAGACTGTCGCCGTCAAGCAAATCAAATTGACAGATCTTCCCAAGAGTGAATTGCGCGTTATCATGGTATGGGATACAATTGTTCTCGGCCTTCATCTGATGTGCTAACACGCGATGCAACAGCTTGAAATTGATCTTCTCAAAAATCTCGATGTGAGACACTCCGCCAAACTATAGCAACAAACCCCGTACTGATATAAATCCTTGCAGCACCCCAATATTGTCAAGTACCACGGATTTGTAAAATCCGTTGAAACTTTGAACATCATTCTCGAGTATGCTCCTCCTAGCTCAAGTCAATGGACATGGAATTGATGGTTTATAGATATTGCGAAAATGGCTCGTTGCATTCCATTGCGAAAAACTTTGGTCGTTTCCCTGAGAACCTTGTGGGATTATATATGTCCCAGGTTCTTCATGGTTTGCTCTACTTGCATGAACAGGGTGTTATTCACCGGGATATCAAGGGTGCAAATATTCTCACCACAAAGGAAGGACTCGTCAAGCTGGCAGATTTCGGCGTGGCGAGTCGAACCACGGGCTTGAGTGAATCAAGCGTGGTTGGTACGCCGTACTGGATGGCCCCCGAAGTAATCGAGCTTTCGGGAGCAACAACAGCTTCCGATATCTGGAGTTTGGGATGCACTGTCATCGAGCTACTCGAGGGCAAACCCCCTTATCATAACATGCAACCCATGCCAGCACTATTTCGTATCGTAAACGATGATCATCCTCCATTCTCACAGGGTGCCTCGCCGGTATGTCTTTATTGACCGTTCAGGCATATGCGTGTGATACTAACTCTATCTAGGCTGTGAAAGACTTCCTGATGCAATGTTTCCAGAAAGACCCCAACCTTCGAGTCTCAGCAAGAAAGTTGCTTAAACATCCGTGGATTGTTAATGCGCGCAGAACCGAATCTGTGATCCCTAAGAAGTCTACGGAATATGAAGAAGCCGTCAAAAGTGTCCAAGAATGGAACGAGGCTCTGCGGTCACCCGAAGCAGGGACTTCGAAGAAAAAGCAGAGGCCAGACCACCCCAGTACTTCAGGCCTGCCATCTACCCGAAATAATCCATTGGTTGATAGCCTGCCATCACCAACCGCCATCAAACCCACGGATCGCTTTCGCTCACCTGTGTTAGCAGGGGACGACAATTGGGACGATGACTTTGCTACTGCAATCTCTCCTAGCGCACTCAAGTTGCCGCATCTACGGCCACATGATAACTTCGGGGGCATGCTCTCTTCCGAGAGACTTAAAGCTTTTGCATCACTCGATGGGACTATACTCAGATCGGATGACAATTCCGATCCCTTTGAGGATAGCTCAGGATTGTCCGACGAAGATACTTTGCAGACCATCCGACCATATCCCATCAAACCTTCTGTGGCAGAGCCTTCCAAGCCTCAAAACCCTGCGCTCTCCCAGCCTGGATCCAATCCCCCCATTTCTGCATTGCAAAATGTCCCAATCCTCGCCCAAAATCCCATGCCGAGACGAGCTCGTCCGGCTCCTCGTCCGACCAATCTCTACAAAGAGAACTCTATCGATGATTATTCCGATCTCATTATGGCCAATGAGGATTCATTAGATCGGAAGTTGGGTGGTTATCAGGTACAGTCCGGCCAGAGTTTAATTTCTCTGTATGATTTTAACATTTTCCAGGACTTCGAGGATGATCCATCATCACCCATTCATGAAAATATAGGATACAGCCAATTGGATGCCGATTTTGGTAATCCTCATCCCCAGCTGCGCAAACAGCTTTCTGTGAAGCGCGACCGCTCTGCCATTGAGATCCAGAGGTTTGCTGAGAATGAAAATGATGAGGACTTCTCTGATATTCTTGGGGCCGACCAAGCTGCTTTAGATCAGGCAGAGAGCGACGATGGCTCGGATCAAAGTACATTGATGCTAAACTCGAAGCTGTCTAACTCATGGCTGGGAGACCAAGAAGACGAAGACGATCCCTTTGCGCAATTAGAAGAAGGCTTTGACGAGGTGGACCTGGAAGAAAATATCGCGCGTGATAAATACGCACGTCTTCGCAACCAAGTTGAGGGTCTTGTAGACTCCCTCAAGACATCCCAGGACGAGGAAGTTCTTGCAGAGATTTCTGAACAATTGTTCACGATTTTCTGTGATCTTCCAGAGACTAAAAACATCATCATCAGTGCTCACGGCATGCTGCCGATTCTTGAGATTCTGGATACTACTCGCCGACGTGATATTGTCTTCTGTCTGTTGAGGGTTGTCAACGCAATCATCTACGATGACTATGAGGTTCAGGAAAATCTTTGCTTTGTCGGTGGAATCCCTATCATCAACGAGTTTGCATCTAAGAAGTACCCACGCGAAATTCGACTCGAAGCTGCAGCATTCGTGCAGCAGATGTACCAGACTTCCACCCTGACTCTCCAGATGTTTGTCAGTGCTGGAGGTTTGAACGTCCTGGTCGAGTTCCTAGAGGACGATTATGAAGATGAACGCGAACTGGTGTTAATTGGCGTGAACGGGATCTGGAGTGTCTTTGAGTTGCAAGTAAGTATTTCGCCTTCATTGCACTTTGCGTCTCCTCGGATCTAACTATTCTTCTATAGGGCTCCACCCCCAAGAACGATTTCTGTAGAATCCTGTCTCGCAACTCCGTTCTTGATCCCTTGTCTCTTGTTCTAAGTCGTGCTCTCGATGAAGATGGGGAGTTGACAGAAGTTATTGAGGGTCGTATTGCAAATATCTTCTTTATATTCTCGCAGGCCGAGAATCATGTTAAGGAGATGGTTTCTGAACGAACAGTCTTGCACAGTAAGCATCATTTCTGCCAACTCTTGCAACGTTCTATGCTAACAATTGATTCAAGGAGTCCTGAAAGAACTGAGGCGAATGAGCCCAGTTCATCAAATCACGATGTTGAAATTCATCAAAAACCTGTCGATGCTTTCAACTACTCTAGATTCTCTCCAGAATTCCAACGCCATCGATGTCTTGACTGATCTGCTTCGATCAAACCTGAAAAAAGCACACTTCCGCGAGCTCTCGAACCAGATCCTCAACACCATCTACAACATGTGCCGCCTGAACAAGTCTCGGCAAGAAGACGCTGCACTGAACGGCATTGTACCGCTTCTGCAAAAGATCGTACTCACAGAGCGCCCACTGAAAGAGTTCGCCCTGCCAATTCTCTGCGACATGGCACAATCTGGAAAGGTTGGCCGTAGGGAGCTCTGGCGCAACAAGGGTCTAGGCTTTTACATCTCTTTGCTCTTGGATCCATATTGGCAAGTCACTGCTTTGGATGCTATTTTCACATGGTTTGTCTCCCGTTCCACAATCGTAGCTGGTCACAAAGCTGACAATGAACAAAATTTAGGCTGCAAGAAGAAACCGCCAAGGTTGAAGAGCACCTCTTGGATGGCATATTTGAGAGTGATACTTTTGAGGGCCCCATTACATTCACTGGTGCCATTGCGGAATGCTTGAAGCTTTCCAAGGCTAACGCATTCGAAAACACTCTCGAACCTCTGCAAAAGCTTCTTCGGCTCAGTCCTCATGTCGCATCCACATTTGCACGTCCTGATATCTTCCAAAGACTGAGGCAGAAGCTACATCACACCAAAGCCGCCGTCCGACTTAACCTTCTGCGCATAATAGCCAGTATTTGTGATTCAAACGAAGAGCAAGGGGGCTACTCGCAACCTATGGTCTGCTCGATTCTATTCGAAACATGGAGAACGACCCCGCAGTCCTTGTCAGAGATATGGCAGGCAAGCTGGTTCGATCCAGCGAGGCATATGGCGTCAGCAAACGCAGACCAACTGCCCGACGACAAAGCACATGCACCCCCCTCCAATTTTATTTTCGGCATCCTCTACCCCATCCACGCCCTCGTCGAGCCGCACCGGCCAGTCAAGGGGATATCTAGAAGGTCGGGAAACACCCCGGCACCCGCGGAACTCTCTCAGTGTTTCTTCTTTGGCTATGAGACCTGGCAGTCGAGATGGCAACAACCCGGCTCTTGGATCTGCCACCAATGGAAGCAGTGCGTCCGCTGCCAGGCCCAGATCTGCACGACCCCTCTCTAGTAGAATGACTCACGTTGAGCTGCTGCGTGAGGAAGATAACAAAACTCCAAGCTCGCTGAGTCGCCGGCCTTCAATCATTCCTCGTCGCCGCCGCCCAACACTCGCAGACCCTGAGTGGGCGTAATTTAATGTCCAAAATGGTCTACTGTGAAGTTATATGTTTGTGTTATTGCGTTTCCGATTCTCTACCTCATAAGTCTGTCTCATATACAGGTGACGGCGTTCTCAACTCTAAATGGTCTTTGGGGTGATGGTGCATGGTTTTCCTTTTTTGTAAAACCCCTTTGTTATTATGTGGGCACTGGTTGCTGCACATGGAGTCTATGCTTTTCTTTTTTTTTTTTGTCTGAATCAATAATTCCTTCTAATTTGCCTAAGTTACCTTGGTTCAAGCTCATACATATAAACAGTTCGAATTGTACAACATAGTATACCAGGCATTCTCAAAGGCATTGTATTTGTTAGCGGTTTAAGGCCAGCCCTTCATATACAGTCCTTGTCCCCTTTTCTTTCTCTATTTTATAAGACGAACTATGCTTTCGTGTCTTTCACTATTAGACCTAGTAAATCCCAACCCATTCAACCCTTGGCTATGACGTCTGTTATGGATCTATAGATTTTGAATCACGTGCCCGAAGCCGATTGGCGGCGAGAACCGTGAAAAATCTCTAGAATAATCATACGATGAATTGAGCCCAGAAACGCTTAGCCGTCTCATTCCCTATTTTACCTTGTTTTTTCTTTTCTGGCCGGTGGCCTTCGCTTCGGGATGAGCGCAGCGCTTCGCGTGCCACTGCGGGCATTCAAGATTGACCCGGTGATCGGGAAAACCTCCAAACCCTCGACATCTGGCTCCTCGTTTCTTCTGGCCTCGAACTCGCCGCTACGACAGTCGCCCTCTTCCGGTGTGATCAATACTTCATCATGGGGTCGTTCAGCGTCTTCCAAGGGCTCAACTCTCGCCGCTTCACGCCGTTCCTTTTCTGTGAAGGCTCCGCTTCTCTTGTCTGCGGAGACTAAGAGCCAGCACAAGTCTGAAAACAAGTCCAATTTGAATGCATCACAGCGGAGTGCCATCAAATGGTTTCTCATTGGAAGTATCCTCGGTTTGGGCGCAGTGACGTTCTCTGATCAAGCGCAGCATGCGTTCCAGGCGGCGAAACGCAGTGGGCGTGTGGTTGGTACACTGGCTGTCTGTATCAATGAGTAAGTGATGTGCAGTGTCGGATCTTTTCTACATTGACCCTTGACCAAATTGCTAACACAACTTCGAATCTTCGCAGCTACCGTGTTACCCTGAAACAAGACGCTTCCTCCCCCGAAGAACACGACGCACTGCTTCGCGCATGCCACAAGCGATGCGCCGAGCGTACACTCCATGTTCTAGAAAAGAATGGCTCGATTTTCATCAAATTGGGCCAGCATCTCAGCAGCATGGGGTACCTGCTTCCCATCGAATGGACCTCGACCTTCATCCCGCTCCAGGACAGATGCCCCGTCTCGTCAATCGAGTCAATTGGCGAGCTATTCCGCAAGGACACAGGCCAGGATATGAACCAGTTGTTTGCATCTTTTGAATCTACGCCCATCGGTGCTGCATCGCTAGCACAGGTGCACATCGCTACGTTAAAGGAAACCGGACAATTGGTCGCTGTCAAAGTCCAGCATCCCGCGCTGGACGAATGGGTGCCGTTAGACTTGGCTTTGACTCGATTCACTTTCTCCATGCTTAAGCGTTTCTTCCCTGAATATGACCTGGAATGGCTGTCGAAGGAAATGGATTTCTCGCTGCCGCAAGAGCTGGACTTCCGCATGGAAGCCCAGAATGCTACTCATGCCAGCGAGTACTTCAAAAAACACTCCGATGCCCCACTGGTCATTCCCGAAGGTTCGCAATTCTGCCAATCAGGGACTTAGATGTATAACTTGAAGCTAACTCAACCCTAGTGATGTGGTCCCAAAAGCGTATCCTCGTGATGGAGTACATCGCAGGCCACCGCCCCGATGATCTGGAGTACCTGGACGCCAACAACATCGATCGCGACGAAGTCTCTGCCGCTCTCGCACACGTCTTCAATGAGATGGTCTTCGGCGACAACGCCCCACTCCACTGCGACCCTCACGGCGGCAATATCGCCATCCGCCCGAACCACACCCGGTCATACCCCAACTTCGACATCGTCCTCTATGACCACGGGCTCTACCGCAACATTGACCGCGACTTACGCCGCAACTACGCCAAGCTGTGGCTAGCCGTTATCGACGCGGACGTGCCGCGGATGCGCGAGTTCGCACACAAGGTCGCCGGCGTCACGGACGAGCAGTTCCCGCTCTTTGCCAGTGCCATTACCGGTAGAGACTACAGCGTGCTCACGAAGAAAAGCGTCGTTTCTTCGCGGACGGCTGAAGAGAAAAAGGAGATATCCGGCGCGTTGGGTGAAGGCATGCTGCAACAACTGGTTGTCTTGCTAGGCCAGGTTCCGCGGATTATTCTTCTCATCTTGAAGACCAATGACCTCAGTATGTATTCCATCTCGAATCCTCGATTCTTTTGGGTATCTCCGACTAACTCTCCCCCAGCTCGTAGCCTAGACGAAAACCTCCACACACGCCAGGGCCCAATGCGCTCTTTCCTCATCCTCGCGCGGTATGCCACGCGCACTGTCTTTGAAGAGCAGTTGGAGCTCATTAAGGAGTCTGGCGGTGTCTTCCGCAACTTCTTCCGTTTCTTGTATGCCTACGCGAGCTACCTTCGCGTTGAGGTCAAGTTGACTGTTTATGAAACTATGCTGTCCTTGAAGACTCGCTTCGGCCTCCGGAGCGGTTAGATAGTGTATTTTTTTTTGGGTGGCTTGCCCTTGGTGCACTGGTTTGTTTTTCCATTATATCCCTTGTTTTTTTTCTCAGCTCATTGGCACGGATTGTCCTAAATAGTCTGTCTGTGCATCAGCGACGGCGTTCTGTATCTCTTTTCACATATGGCCACTTCGTCTCGACTGGATTGTTGAGAGTATGGGTTGTTCTATGTTTTCCGGCTTCGTTCTCAAAGATCCAGTGTGGTCCTGTACAGATAGATAGATTGTTGATAGATCATAAATCATAGACTGCTTCTGATATCACTCTTTCTACTTTTTACAAAAGGGTAACTGTTCTGGTTTCACTGTTTCATTGGAAACTATCAAGGCGCTGCTTTTTAGAAAATGGTGTTGAGAGTATCGATCAAGGATCCCAGATACCGAGGCGCCGTCGCAGAAAAAAAAAGAAAAGGAAAAACGTATCAGAAAGTGAGAAGAAAAAGGGAATATGTACATCAAACAAATGGGCAATTTGTTCGTTTTCATCTCATCCATCGTCATCCCTTGGCGCGCATTTTCAGCAGCACCAAGTACAACAAATCCCAAATCCACCCGTTCTTGTCGATGTTTCCGACAAGAACAAGTATCCTTGATCAAATGATTGTGTATTAAGACAACCTCGGAAATAATAAAAAACGCAGATTTCGTCAAACGAAACGAGTGAGTTGCGTCATACAGATAGAGAGTCCATCTGGCAAGCTCACACAGTCAAAGCAATGAGAAATAAATTAAACAGTAGCAGCAGTCTCAACCTTGACGTCAGGAATGACGCCGCCCGTCCCAGACAGATCTGTGGTACGGGTGTTGGGGTTCTTGGTGTAGTAGTTCGCAATCGCAGATTTGATAGCATCCTCGGCAAGCATAGAGCAGTGCACTAGATATATGTTAGCATATGATCAAATCAAATCAATCACAGAAGACATACGCTTGACAGGAGGGAGACACAACTCCTTCGCCACATCGGTGTTCTTAACCTTGCCAGCCTCATCGAGGGTCATACCGCGAACGAGCTCGGTAAGATAACTGGAAGAAGCGATAGCACTACCACAGCCGAAAGTCTTGAAGACGACATCGTCGATACGGCCGGAATCCTTGTTCACGCGGATCTGCAACTTCATGACATCGCCACAGGCGGGCGCACCGACGAGACCAGTGCCAACGTCCTGGTCACCCTTCTGCATGGAACCGACATTTCGGGGGTTGTTGTAGTGATCAAGGACCTTCTCGTGGTATCCTCTGCGCTGTTGAGCTGGGGCGGGAGCAGCACGGCGGATGGCGGGTTGAGCGGACTGCAGGCCGGTGAGGGGAGAAAGGGCGCTGCGAGTTGCGACAGACCCGACGCGGGGGACAACGGTGACGAGGCGCTTGAACATTGTGAATTATAATGAGTATTTGATGGGGTATTGATTTTCACGGATGATATGTGTTGAAGGCGAAAAAAAGATGGATCTGATAGGGAGTGGAAGTGATGAATTCATAAATAATCTGATCGGACCTTAGATAAGCACGCTAGGCCTAATGGGGTACTCTCTTTGGCCGGATCCGCCGGTCGTCGGAGATGACAAAGATGACGTTCACTTTTATCTCTTGTCTTCCTTCAATTGTGATACTTGAATGATGCGCCAAATGGGAAAAGTTGGGGTATTATATCTCTGTGCCAGTGAGAGTGCGTGCTGGTGATATCAGTTCTCAGGGGTGGCGACCCCTGTGCACCACTCAAGTTCTCCGCGGTGGACTCGCCCGGTCACTGTCTTGTTTTCCGCCTCTTCGATAGCCAATTGTTTGGCAATGATATCAAATAGTGGAGAGAATAACCATGGCGATCTATTATCAATTTGATGTTATGTGTTCCATTCGAATACCATATATGCTTATCGCCCTATTCTACTACATTCTTCTACCCTATTCCCGCGGAGTTAGCGGAGACGAAGCCAGAGTATAGTTCCTCTCGGCTTATTCTAATCGGGATATCATATCCATACCCGAATATTAGACAAAAGAACTAAGCTAACCGTATCTATCCTTTCCCGGCATTGCTTACGTTTTCTCAACCAAGCTAGTATATCCTTACAAGTAGAACAGAACTACTTGGCAAAACTAAAAGGCTAGATGCAGTGCAACCTCACTGAGCAGTCGCTTTCATTCAATATATCAAACGACAAACCTCAAGCCCCAGACCCAATGCAAAGATAAAACTAAATATGCAACCTACAAAGCCAGACGAACAGCAGACTTAAACTAAGTCAGGAGACAGGTTAGCAATGGGCAGGAAAAAACCGCCCTCCTCTTGTGTAACATACCGGGATAATCTGAGCCTTCTCCATATCCCACACACCAGCAGTGACATAGATATCCTTGTTAAGAAGCTCAAGCACCTCAGCTTCATTCTCTGCAACAGCAAGCATCATGCTTCCCTTGAAGGAGGGGGTCTCGCCATCGGCGGGGTGGGCATTGAGCATTGCGCCTAGACAAAAAACAATCCACGTCAGTACTTGAAACCCTTCCATGGCACTACATCGACAAAAGATAACACAAAGATAAAAGTGAGTCACATACCACCGGCAACAAAATTGCCAGCCGCAACGTGCGGCATAACGCCCTCGAGGTGCTTACTGACCAAATTAGCAAGACTCATCCATATCGCACGTGTATTCCAGATGATAGGGAAAGACTCACGGCCGAACCTCAAGACGCTTCGCCTGCGCACCGGGCTTATCGGGCAGGATGCAGAGGAACTCTTTCTTAGCAGGTGCGGAAGACATATTGCGGGATTGGAATATTGATTTTCTAGTATGGGAGGTTTGGATTGAAGCCGAGGGGGAGAACAAATGTGGCGGGACACGGAGGAGCGGTCGCCGCGCGTGGGGGAAAGCGGGGGCTTTGTTGAGGACGCGGGTGAGACGGAATGGCATCGTGAAATGGAATGTATTGGATTGTTGATTTGGGGGTTATACAAAGGTATGTATGCGCCTATAATTGGTATATACCGAGTTTTTCCCTAGGGACTTTCCTATTTGAGCCGCTTTTATGAGCTTAGGCCCCTGAAGTAGATGCACCGAATGGGTCACGTGCATATTTATATTCGTCCAGTTTTTGTTACACAAACATTCTCTCTCTTGCTAGTTCTTTCTCAGTGAGACTTGCAAAGCTGGAATCTCAACACTGACAGCCTGACCACTCTGATTCAAAGAAAAGATGAACTCGTCCAAACCACGACCTCCATATTGGAGTCTATCAAGGTCTAGCCAGGACACACAAGTCGGAGTGTCATTATCCGCCAGCTCAGTCATATCCTGAAAGACCGCTCTAAAAGCCTGTCTAGAACCAGAGCCAAAGTCTTGAACCAGTTGTACAGGATACAATCGAATACTCAGATCCGCCGGTTTCGCAATACCCATGATCCCAGCGAGTGTTGCACGAAAGTCGGTGCCATTACTAACAAACTCCTGGATATACAAACCAGGCAAACTGTCGTATTCAACAGCAATAGATGAATTAAGGTCGGGCGCCTTGTATGCGCCCCCAAAATCCTCGGCTGCCTGCTCGATAGCCGTTTTCATCAATGCCCCTAACACGACATCACCGATGATATCCGCGTGCGCGTTGAGATCTGCCGGGGCCTCGTTGTCAGCCGAGAGAATGGCAAAGCCGACACCGAAGTCCGGGACCAAGCCGAGGTATGAGCTGTAGAGGCTCTCGTCGTTGCCTTCGTTGCTGAGAACCGTGTAGATGTCTACCATGGATGTGTCGGGGTATGAGCCGGCGCTGTATATCACCCATGGGGATCCGATGGAGTTGGATGGGTTGGAGGTGTGAGAGACTGGCTTGAACCAGCGATTTGTTTGGGGTTTGCCGAGGAGAGTTGAGTTTAGGATTGCTTGGCCGGCTGTTGCGAGATCTTTAATGCTAGAGAAAAGAGATTTTGATCTGGAGTGGATGCGCTGTTAGATTGATGATTGATGTGTGGAAAGAATATGGACTTACGCTTTGTCGCTTTCGTGGCGTGCTAACCATCCACTGGCTTCTTTACTCACGGGAATAATTCCTGCAGTGGTTTTTTCTGGCGCAAAGATTGAGGTTTCAGTCATGCCTAGGACGTCAAAGATGTCGTGTTGGAGGACTTTGCTGAATGGCTTGCCTGTGCGCTTTTCAACTATGTAGCCAAGAAGCTGGAATGCCATGTTGGAATAGCTGGGGGTTCCCCCAGCTGGAGCTACGCGAGTTTTGTTGGCCATGTGACGAATGAAATCTATGAAGAGATTAGTATGCATAGATAGTAGGCACAGACTTGAAAACAATACCGCTGCTATCACACCTAGAACCATTATCACAGCAACGCATGTGGATAGCCTGGCGTGGAGGTAGTCCTGCCTCGACAGGACCTGTTTGCAAAGTCACATCCTTCGAGCAATCTGTTCATGAATTAGTTTTGATCATCAACCATATTCCTGTTCGGTGTACTTACAGTCCCTTGCAATTCCAGACATATGACTCGCAAGTTGACCGACAGTAACATCATCCCACATTACATGTCCAATCATCTCTTGTCTTGTAGCATCAACCAACTCAGGGAGGTATTTGGTAACAGGGTCGTCAAAGACCTGGTCTCCATCTCCAATGAGAAGAAGACTCCACACAGTGAAGACCTCAGTGAGACCACCAATACGATAAATGCTGTCTTTGTCCACGACGTAAGATCCTACTGAAGACTGGTTCAATGTAGGGGCTGTGTGGTGATATTGCCAGAAGAAGGGCTCGTCTTCGACATTCCCGGTGTCGGACGAGAACAGGGCGATGCTAAAGGTAGTGTTTGGCGAGATATCCCCATGAGCACCAGTATTTTTTGTGACTAGTGTGTCAAACTCCTGCGTGAGATTTTGCAGGGCATTTGCAATGATTTTGTCATTTGTATCGAGAAAGAACGGAGGAAATGCAGGGCCGAGGAGTGGACATGGAGTGAAAGACAGAGCCGAAGCAAAGAGCAAAAGGAATACTGAAGCGTGGGAGATTGAGGTCATTTCGAAAGAATCACAATTGATTTGGTTTTGGTTTTGGATTCTTGCTTCCTCCATATCTCTTTTATATCCAAGATCGGGTCGGTGATGCTGAAGATCTTGGCGGGTTGTATAGATCGGCTCGGCGATACGTAGAGGCATTAGATCATCGCACCTTATACAATCCTAGCACTGCTGCATGCTCACTTTATTTCTCGCATTGGGGCCTTTGTTCATGTCTTTTCGGCATCTGTTTGATCTTTTCAATTTTGACCATCATTTTGCCTTCAAGCTGGAGGGTATGATACGAAGAGAGAGAAGATTTATAAGGAGTTAGGCTGGTAAAATGAGATGTTGAATCCATAATCATACCCAGTCACGCATAATCTGCTCAAAGGAAGACGCAGAGAGAAAATCATGGGGGATTTGTAAGTCCTCCGTCGAAGATGAAAATGAATCCACAAGAGGGATATCAAGATGCTCCGCAGCCTCTGCAGCCTCCATAAACCCGTCAAAGTGTGTCGGCTCCAAACATGACGTGTGCTGAAATTCTTCAAGGCTCTCCTCGCCGTGAGCATCATCTTCTTGTCTATTATGTCCCCCGAGCCAGTTCTCGATTTGAACTATACGGTTCCTAAAGTTGAAGAAAATATCTCGAGTGCCGTTTTTATCTACGTCAGAAGTAGACAATGCTTCAATCCTCGATCTCAATTTTGAAAGAGTATCTAGGAAGGCAGCAATTTGATTTGGCTTGGATGCTGCCACGGTGTGTCGATAGGCAACTAGCAAGGCAAATGCTATTTGTACCCATTGCGTATTGTTGAATCCGACTTCCCCGTTGTGCGGAAGTCGAATGTACAGATTGAGGATCGAACTGGCTGAGATATACGCCGATAATGACATTTCCTCTCTCCAGGAGTTGCAGTCAAAAGGTGATTGGGGCTCTTGGTTGGTCATATTGAGAGCTAGTTGGTATAGGCCAAGCCCTGTCGCGTGATATTGTATCGCAAGAAGAGCTTCATTTACAGCTGTAAGTTAGTGTCAAATCTCTTTTATAAAGTGAGCCCGGTGTTCTGTTGGGACTTACAGCTTTCGGTGATGTCGAAGGGTAGATGACGGTAGAATGCCTCCAGATCTGACTTTAGATTGGCGATATAGAGCTCTGACCCCGATCCAGGCGTTTCCAAGTCAAGTCCATGCTTTGCAGATAGATGGTCGACTTTTTCTGCAATAAATTGGAGCTGTGTCACATAACTGATGTATTTGTCGTGAGGATACTCGTTGGCTTCGTGGATAGCCTTGCAACACTCTTCCTGGTACGGATAACGCAGAATAGTAGATTTCTTTTGCACAAGCATCGCAATCCTAAGGCGAGGTAACTTTCAGTCACTATCCAATAATCCCGGATGGTATAGCAACTCACGATGACGATAAATAATAACAGCCCAAGACAGCCCTCTGCTCGTTGCTTCCCCAAGAAGGCCGACTGAACGTCTGATTCTGCAAATTATATTGCAGCCCAAAGCGCAACTCTGTCTTCCACGTCCGTGTTTGTGGCGGACGGTCCAACCGCAGATCTATCATGAGGCTTATAGCCAATTGGAGGAATTGAGTATAACGGTGTGGCCGTGAGTGATAATGCGACCTGCCATATGTTGTCAGATGCGATCACGATATCAACGTATTGATAGGCTGGCATTTACCATGCGAGGAACACCAACAGTCCTTGTAGCAACTCAAAGGAGATTTCCCCACCGATGACCATGCGTGATGCGACGACTTTCTTGACTTCATCCCCTAGAGCCCGTTGCAGTGGCATGTTCTCGTAGGAAGCTGATGCAAGGATTGCTAAGCATAGGAATGGCTTCTCCTGGCGGAGCTGCTCGACAGAGACATCAGGGGGCACAACCACAAATGGGAAGTGTGGGGTCAGTTTGGTCTTGAATGCGCTTAGGTACTTTTCGGCGGTCTCGATGTCAAGTAAGTCTCGGCTGATGATATCTTCAAGCGCAGCATCGCCATCAGCTAATGATGTGCTACGCGTGCTCGTGTTGTTATCATTTTCTTCTAAACCAGCACGCCCGGCTTTAAGTTCATTGATTTTTGACTCGAGAGCCGCGATCTTACTAGGTTATGGGTTAGATGTGAATAAACCATATCATCGTCATAAAAAGCCTGCTCACCGGTCCTTTTGGAAGCCATTAAACCGACGACCAGTTTGGCGATATAGACACTCTTTTCCCAAACGGCAGCATCTGCATAGTTTAGATAAGCTCCAGTCTTCTTCCACAGAGAGTTTGTTCTATCCAGATTCCTACCGGTTACACGCGGCGATGTCGGTATCCCGGACACATCGCACCTTGGAATCCGCACAACTCTGGCATGTTTTAGATACGGGAGGCATCGTGTGGTCTGCTTCATCTGAGAAAGTGAAACTAGGGCCGGTTATAGTGGTGATCCTGTAGATCCTATGCTGGGTCAACAAAGCTTGGGCCCAACGATGCACCTCCGTCTTAAGAAAAGACAGCGACAATATTAGGCGGATTGGAGGCGCCTTGGTACAAAAAAGGTTGTTTAGTAGTGACGATATCCTCTCATCTTTTGGATCTCAGTCTTGCTAAAGTCAGGCAAAAGCAAGATGGTTGAGATGATTACGTTGCGTTTGGGATGTTTTGGCCCCATTTCTTACAAGGTATCCAGCTGGTTTTGCTTGAAAATGTTCCACATTATCTCCATGTTCCTTGGGAATTTTGAAGCTAACAGAATACAAAAGGGCTATACGTGAGAGCATTCAATAAGAAATTATCCCGTGTCGCAAAACAGACCGCTGAATATTCGATACAGCTCTAAAGAATATGTTTCGAGTTTGCCAAAGAAACATGAGCTTCAACTAGCCTAGGGGCTGAGGTCGGTGCTAGGAGACCTTCATTAAACTACTCGTTAGTGTTACTAGAGCATACGGCTTGTGCTTTTTGCAGGAATCGAAATCGTGCAATTGATTATATACATGAAACTCGGCAGTTATGCCAGTGCAGCGCGGATATATGCCTTGCTTCCTCTGCAATAAATCTAGACCCATCACACAACATCTGGATTTCAACTGAGTTGGCCTGATATCTGCCTCTCATCTCAAAAAAAAAAATTCAAGGACGCCACCTCAGCATATGACATAACGAAAAAAATATGAAGATAAAAGAACAACTTGGAGGTGACCTGCATAGCAGAATCAGAATCAAATTTGGAAACAAGAAAACACATGACAGTAAACGGTCCGGTTCTCGGTCCCTAATGTAGGTATGCGCAACGGATGATCGAGATTGAATCACTCGAGTGTACATGGGATATACACACATCCCCACAACTCGGGATGTGTGCCCCAGACACAAATTCGGTATACCGAGGCCTGGGGAACTGGCGAACTCTATAGACCTGTGACCCGCCAAACAACATTTTCCCCCGTAGCGCCAAGGTAACAAATACACACACTCCCTAGAACGCGGCACGAAGATACTGTATTAGGGAAGTCATTAGGCTTTCCGTCGCGAAACATCCATCCAAAAAGAGAAGAAAAAATTGGAAAAGAAAATGGGCCAGGGAAGAAGTGAAATCCGCCGTGGTTAAAGGCTTCGGATAATGATCGGGAAGGCAACACACGGGCGGCAATGGATAATGGTGGATGTTTGAGGACGGGGTGGGATCAAAGATCAACTTGATCCCAAGCGAGATTTCGGGCGGACGGAATGCAGGCGGAAACTAGAACGCTTTACGGTCTCCAAGGTTACCAGGCTTCTCGTCGGTATCAATGTGCCATACCACGTAGTTGGGCAGTCCGACCACCTGGTAGCCAGCTCGCTTGGCCATGCGGGCGAAACCTTCAGTCTCGGCTTGGTTCTCGAAGGCGTATGCGGGGAAGTTAATTCCGGAGCGGTGCACATCGGCCTTGACAAGGATATTGACACCACCAATTCCGTCAAGCTCCACCTCATCATCCTTGTTGTTTCGCCAGTCGCCCATGCTGACCAGGTAGGTGCGGCCGGTGTCGTACTCTTTGTAGCCTTCGGCCAGGACGGTGTCGGTAGGTAGAGACGCGCGCAGGCGGCGGCCCTTGTCGGATTCGATCCATGAGTTGTAGTCAACTAGGAGTCAAGATGTCAGCGATCTGCATAGCACACATAATGTCAGTGGGTATACATACAGCGACCCTCGATATCGTGGCCATCCTGGTTGTAACGGTGGAACCAAATGTCTAAATATAAAAAATCACTTGTCAGCTAGCTGTTCGACCTGCGACCCAAATTCCAATCAAAATCACATACTTGGCACGAGGATGTCTTTATCGTGGGCCATAAAGTCCTCCAGGATACGCTCGGGGCAGTCGGTAATGTCCACGTCCCGCCAGTACACCCAGGAGTGATCGGCCTTCAGAGCCGAGTAGAGAAGGTAGTTCCGGGCACGGGCAATAGCCTTGCGTCGTGGACCCTGTGCGGCGAACGAGTGTCGCTCCTCCACGGTCATCTCAACGTCGGCACCGAAATCCTTCTGAATAACGGTTGCACTGCGGAAACGAACTTTCTCCTCGGCATGGTTCTGGATGCGATCGAGTTCGGAGGCGAGGTTTGCGAGGGTGTCGTCCTTGCAGTCACCGACGAGGAAGGCCAGATCGATCAAATCGTGTGGGTAAGACAGTTTGTAAAGGAGGTCGAAGTATTTCGCCAGGTAGGGAGCGGCGTCACGAAGAGGAGTGAGGATGAGTACGCGTTCGTGGTTTAGAGCGGCCTTGGAGGTAGACTTGATCGGGTTCAGGTTGAGATCGACGATGGAGGTGGAGTTGACTTCGTAAGGTTCGTGGCGGTTGAAGAGGACGGGGGTCTGGGCGTGTGCACTCCATTCGACCATCTCGTTGATGGACATCTCCATGGGTGACTTGCTAGAACCATAGCAGTAGAAGCTGTTGACGTCGAGTCAGTATGGTTTCCGGATGGATTGTGTGTTTCGGCTCACCTTTGCATTTCTGATGCAGACCTGCTTACACCGCGCCACATGAGGATGAGTAGACCCGTTAAGGCTATGGACACCAAGAAGCGAGTCCGTGTTAATAAAACGATGATTGCCCTCCATGGCGGCAATCTGGCCTTGGCCGATTTCCAATTAACACCGCCCTTTGGCAACAACATGATGAAAGTAAATGTGTAGAATTTCAGGGGCGCTCCCGTCTCAAACACTCGTAAACCCCCCGAACGAATGTGGCGAAGGAGGATCGAGAAGGATGAAGTGAAGGGTTGATAGGGAGAAAATAGGATCGGGAACGGGGGAAATGCGATTGCTTGCCAAGAACGGCTAATATCAGTCAAGACAACTACATTTCTACATTTCTACAAAACTTCTTAGTAGAATGTTATGATTAAACAGTTATTAAGTCTATTTTACTATCTAGTTTACTAGATTAATTAAACATATCAGGTTATTCACTTTGACAGTCCCCCTAATACACGTTGCCGAGACCTTTTTCTTTATTTTTATTTATAGCCATGATCGTCTAGAACCCTATGAACTTAGGGGCTAATTAGATTGACATGAATAATCACTAGTTATATCGTCTCTGTCAACTACATGTACTAAATGTGTTGTACATTCTACTCCATACTCTGTACTCTGTCTTAGTTTTGCTGCAGGGATTGCGTATACACATACAGTACTTTGATCTTATTTTGTCTTAAATTTCAGCCTTTCTCTCATTTTAATCTGCCAAGTTGTAATTCTACGGATTTCCCCCTATTTTTTTTTTCTTTTTTTTCCTTCTAGAATTCCATTTCAAATCAAATGAAAAGTACGGAGTACGGGGTAAAAAGCAAATTGAAAATGACAGTGAAATCTCCAACACGAGGTTAAAGTGAGACATGGCCTGGACCCAACCATACATATCTTATAGCACAGCATACTATATGCACCTCTATTTCTACATTTGAAATGACAATCAGTATAATTTTGAACGACTATGTTGTACTCATTTGAAAGAAGAAAAAAGCAATTCAACCTCCCACCCACCATCCAAATCGCCTAGGAGAACACTTGTCCGTTTCGCAAAGTCTGGACTGGTCTCCACTAGCTGACACCTGAGACGGCCGTTGATCGACAGTTGATTCGCCCCCGGCAAGAAATCCACGATACCACTTGGAACATTGTTTGCATTCTTATGTCGTAGGCCCAGTATCCAAGAATGCTTAGGCAAAGGCAATATGTTTGAACTATCCGAAGAGGGGGAAATACCTAAATACGTAAAATATTGTGTTCAAATCGATAACATAAGAATTCGGCGTTCTCACAATTCCTGTGGTGAAACTTGTTAAGATAATACATCGTGTATTGCAGTCTATATAGACGGAGGGATTATAGTATATATATATATATATATATATACATTGGAGCCCACTTCTCAAAACAAACTTGCGCTAGCACCAGGAGAGCATAGCAATATAGCCCAGTATAGGAGATAAAACTGACCTATGTATCATCAACAAATGGTTATATGGGAAATGGCAGGACGGACTCAAATCATACCCAATGTGCTTTAAACCACTCCATGTCTGATACTTTTACACGGTACCATTCAGCGCGTTTTACAGTCTAACCCAACTACTATTATTTACAGAAGAGCAAGATTTTTATCGAATATGATCCATTGAGTCATAGCTATAGACATAGAAAAAGAGGAGAAAGTGACAAAGGAAATAAAGGAAATAAACAAAAGCCAAAATATATCCACCGGAACACATATATCCATTGTGTAAACAACGCCAAAGGACAAGAGAAAAGAGTAAGGAAAAAAGCCAACATTTTGTCCAAGAAAATAAAAGACGGAAGGAGACACCAAAACACCAAAATCAATCAACAAAGGAAAATGACTCGAGCAGATTGAGGGTTACTTGTTCATCCCCAAGATCGAAGAAAATATTGTTACACAATGCAGGCGCTAAATGCACATGGAGCGGGAAGATGACGGAAGGACTAAGCCAAATTGATCCGAGAGTAAGGGAGAGAGCAACCACTACTGCAAGGGACTCATGTGGGAAAGAGGATGCAGCACAGACAAAAAGGTGGAAAAGGAGTCATGATATCATCAGGGAACAGTGTTCAATATTGGGGCGTGCATCATCAATCTCCACTGCGGCTTTATGGAGACGCAATATGAGAGGGGCGGCGAGAGGGCGCCGGGAATGAGAAAGAAGAAGACTGGGAAGGAGGGAAGGCAGGAGAAGAAGGACCAGTCATAGGCGGGGTGGGAGTGAGATAGGAGCTGCCGAAGGACTGCGAGGTGGAGCTAGGCAAAGAGTCGTGGAAAGAAGAACTATAGGAAGACTCGGAGGGCATGCTGGCAGCAATCTCATCGCAGAGCACCCGCATGCCAGGTAGGCCGTTCTTCT